GTGTGTGTGTGTGTGTGTGTGTGTGTGTGTGTGTGTGTGAGAGAGAGAGAGAGAGAGTTTTAGTTGGACGGGATAATTATTTGGGTTCTTAATGACTGTGGTCTGTGAAACTGGATGTGAGTAGGGTGTTAACCCCCCATAAGTAAGTTCTTTCAGTTTTGTATAATCAGATATTTATTCACACAAGTAAACGTGTCGTTCTAGATGTTATGAGGTGGAGATTAGGGAATGCAAAGATTTATAAGCCATGTTCCTGCCTGGATAGTTTATGGTTAATAAAAATATAAGAATAATATTTCTATTATACAGGTTTTCATACATTGGTGATAAAGGCATATAATAAAATGCTGTAAGAGTTCAGAAGAAAAAAAATCATATTCAGTGAACATTGTCAGGGAAGACTTGTGTTTTACTTGATTTGGGCTTTCTAGAATTATTGCTTAGGAATAGCAGATGGAGTGAGAGAGGGTAGAACAGTACAAGGATTTTTAGAAAAGAGAGATAATAAAATGTTTTCCAGGATAGAACATTCATCTAAGCTATAAAGAAAGCTATAAAGCTTTAAAATAAATTAAGTTTATATAGTACAAGTCTGTATGTTCCAAATTTTATAATTTATATTTTCTAAAGACATACTGGTCTTTAGAAAGAGGAGCCATTGAAGGATGTTGAGAAAACAGAATAATTTAATCAGGCCCCCTCACCTTAGGTCCAGTTGGGGGTGGTGTGGAGCATTCTTTGTAAGCAAATTGTGTGTGNTGTGGTAACAGATGAAGTTGAACAGGCAGGCAGGGTTCAGCAGGGTTCAGACCACATGGGGACCTGACAGGTCGTGATATGGAGCTTGCATTTATTCTCACTCTAATCTAAAATAGATTACATATCTTAATGGAAACACAAATGAAAACCACCTATTTTAATTAATAGAGTTTAGAGCAATGATAATAACACAAATAACAGAATAACAACCCTGTTGTTGAGGACAATAGGGTTTATACATTCTGAAAGGATCTATTACCTCAAGTCTGAGCTTCTCAATTTCTTCACTTGCTTCTTTAAGCCTAACTGCATCTTTATCCAGAAGTTCCTGATTTTCAGCATACCACTGTAATCTTTTTTGCAGACGACTGATTTCTTGCTTATGTGTTTCTTCTAAAATTTTTATTTCATATAATTTTTCACCTAGGTAGATAAAGTAACTTAATACCTGATCATAATTTTTCAAAATATGGAAATAAACTAAAGTAAAAGATTTTAAATGAAAACCAATGCCTATTAGATAATGAAAGCACTATGAAAAAACAAGACATAAAACAACTGAAGTATAGAACATAGTGTCTCGTCTAATATGTTAGTAAAGGGAAACGAGACTATATTCATAATCCAAATCTTCAACCTTGTAGCAAAGTTGACTATGTAGAACTTTTTGATAAACCAATTGTTTTCCCACTGACTTTCATTATCATATTGTTTCCACAGGAAAATAAATGTTGGATTCAAGAGATAAGAAAAATGAAAAATGCCTACAATTATATTAAAAAGCAACAATGGCAAACATTCCTGAGTGCTTACCATGTATTATTTTCCACAACAAACTTATATGATGGATACTTATTATTTTACTATATAGATGAGGAAAAAAATGTTTTCTTTGTACACATCTTACACTGAAACTCATAATAGGGTAGAGGAAAGATCCTGACTTTGGCAAACAAGGGCTCCTCTGATCCACCTTACTAGCCCCATGTTCCGACATCCTAAGGTCCAATCCACAGGTGCGCTCAACAATGTGCGCATGGGCACACTAAGCAGCCTCCTCTCATGCCTTCACTTTCAAGTCTTATTATCTGTCAAGGCCCAGTTCAAATGCCACTCTTCCCTGAAACCCTTTTTAGCACTCCAATTCCTCTCATGTTTATTTGTAATTTTTTTCTTACATTAAATTTTTCAGCATTCTTGTCTTACTCCCCTTTCTTTCTCCTGGTGGGGACCATGCCATATTTCTTTGTATTCTCTATAAAACACAGTGCAGTGTTATCTGTTAATATGGCAAATATTTAATAGCCTACAATGTTACAAACCCAGGGATAAAATGATAGATCTTGCCCTTAGTAACGTCACAGTCTAGCTGGGACGACAAGGCATGTAAACAACTAAACATAAAATGCCAGAGATTCAAAATAATCCTTGATTTTTATTGATCTTCCAATTATTCCTGTTAAAAACAATCAAATTCACACATCTTTTAATAACTGATTTAAAAAATGTTTCTAAGTTTACAGTATATCCCAGGGAACAGCATTTTGGTGATACCCTTCAATTCCTATTACTTAAATTCAAGATTAGAAGAATTATTAGTATAAAAGTAAACTGTTTCAGCTCAGTGTTCTACCTGTGGCATAAGTAATCTGATCTTTGGCTTGGTCCCTCTCTTTCTTCATTTTTTCCAAGTCTACTTCAAGAGCTTGTTTATCTTGCTTCAGTCTTTTGATGTCCTCCAATAAACTGTTTTTTTCTTTCTTGATATTCAAAGAAATACAAAAGCAAGTTATTTTCAACCACAATAAATTGTGCAATAGTCTCTCCTTCCCCCAATCCATCATAAACACTGCTGTGAAATATTTTTCCTACATCTTAGCTCTGATTTTATTACTATCACCTGCCCCACCTCAGAATCATTAATAGCTCTCCATAGCCTATTAGAATCAGTTCTAATCATCTCAGCACACCATTAAAGACCTTCCAACTCACTGTTTACTAACCATAGTGATGATTCACTAATTCTCTTG